ACTTGGAAGGTTAGCGCGGTTAGTGAGGATCAGCTAACGAGTAAGTCCGATGGATGCTTGTACTTTGTCACTCTCTCTTTGCGGTGTAATTGTCATCCTCAATTTCTTGCAAGATCAATGGTTTCTGTTTTAATGGATGTTGTCTTTCCTTTCGACCTAAGATGCGCACGCTTGTCGATTCCTCACCCTCACTAAACATCAATGAGTCTGATGGGAATTTTGTTGTCCTAATAAATGCACGGGTGAGAACTTGGGATTGCGAGTCTTTCCTGCAGATCCTTCGGATTCGTGTGTAATGGTAGAGCAGATATGTGTACGTGGAAGTCGCGATTGTACGGACCCGTGATTAGTTGTTCGGGATGGATTGTTCAAGAAGGACTAAGGGGGGATCGCACACGGATAAGACATGTGCCTTAGGAAAGGGGAGGGCAATGATGATGGGTACTAGAAAGTGACGAAATTTGAATTAAGCTAACCCGGATCGTATCTTTTGATCGACCATCGCTTGCGCCCACTCCTGCTAATCCGGAGCCAGCCCCTCACCTAGCCGTAAGCAGAGCTTGTGCACGCACGTGTAAGCCTGACCGAAAGGGACAGTGCCTACACGCGTGTCTGCAGGATCTGCGCGTGGGCCATGGCGGCATTTTCGTCGTATTGACAAAATGTTTCGCATCAGGGGCCAAGAAAGTTTGCGGGACCCTGAATATCGGAAATATTGGGAACTGAAGAACACGTACTTCTTGCCTCGCTCGGATCCTCCGAGATTCCCTTACCTGCGAGGAGACGAACGTGTCTGCGATTGGGATATAGGAAGGGCATTGGACGTTGTTCCTTTCACAGCCCAATTCCCTGAGTCCCACACGAGCCACGTCTTCTCCGAACCTGGGGTCGTCGTACTAATAACTCACTGCCCACCGTACCGAGTGGTGCTGCCCTTCCACTACCTCATCGTTGTTCTGTGGCACGCTATCGCTCCCTACTGGCCTCGACCCCCTTGTTCTGAGTGCCAGCGAGACCGCAAGTATCGAGCCTCGGAGTTCATACGCTGAACCCAAACGGAGTCTGAATGACGGGCACGCAACCTCCGGCTGAGACCTTCGTTGTCCGATTCCGAAGTTTGCAGCGATCAATGACAGCAGCTGATCTGACGGCGTGATACCCATAGCGTGCACCCTGTCCATCAGGTTTGTGACCGACCGCAAAGGCGAAACAAGAGGAGATGGTGATTCCCATCTCTCGGGCCTAAGGCATACGAACCATGCTTGAGATCGATGACAGGGGCAATGTTGTGGGGGATTCTGTTCAAAGAATGCAAGGGTGTCTGGATCTGCTAGCAACGTGATTACGTCGGGACTCTTATCCCTGGGATACACTGCGCATGCCATCTGCCTTATGCTGCACGACATCTGCAACTTTCATTTCTTTACACAGTCTGGGAGGCGGTCTATTTGCTCATAAAACCTGAAACGCCGCGCACGACGCGAACTTGCCCTCTTGCACTTTTACCCCTAAAACTTGCCACAGGAGACCTCTGTTCTATCCTGGGACTCCACCACCGACTTTCCTTAAATCCTTGGCACACCCCCTTTTTCGCACTTCCGAGCCCCCATCCCACTCCGATCAGGAAGTCGCGCTGGGCGTGAGGTTGGGCGTCACATCCCTACGCTCTGTTCTGATATAGTCGCGGAGCCTAGTCAGGAATAGCAAACTTACCATTGAAGCTACCGCTCCTATCCACTCGTTTAATGCAGCAATCCTGTTGCCGTAAAAAAATGACAACTGTAAAAAGGAAAAAAAAGTTAAAAAAAAAAAGGCAAAAGAGACGAAAGGAGACAAAAAAAGAGGGGGGGGGAAACGAAAAAGGAACCCAAGACTAATGTACCAAAGACCTATTCGAGGTCCCATGCGTCCCACACCCATGTACTAAACCAGCGTCCAATCTTTCGTCGTAATCTGAGAGTGAGTCTCTCCCAATGCTCCCATAGTCTGTATTTGGCTGTTTATATTGCCCGAGGCCCCAGGGGGTCTTTATTCGAGGCCCATAGCACACGTAGGCAGAATAGAGGCCCGAGGGGGGTCCTGAAACAACGAAAAAGAGGCAAAAAGAAAAAAGAAAAAAGAAAAAACAAAGAAGAAAAAGAAAGAAGAGAAGGAAAACGAAAGGGAAAAAAGGGAAAAAGAGAAAAAGAAAACCGAGAAAAAGAGAACAAAAGAAGGAAAAAAGAAAAAGAAAAAAGAAAAACAAAAAAGAAAAACAAAAAAAGAAAGAAAAAAAAAAAGAAAAAAATGACAAGGTTAGCAGACCCAATCACAACGCAAATTACGGTTAGATTGGTGAAAAGAGGAGAGAGACGGAGTGTGTGTGCGCGTGTCATCGCGGAGTTCCTCAGTCCCATGAGCTCGGATGCTCAGCTCTCCTTCGCTTGCTCTCCCCTTTCTCACCTGTATACGCGTGTGTGTGTGTGTGTGTGTGTGTGTGTGTGTGTGTGTGTGTGTGTGTGTGTGTGTAATGGGTGTGTATAACACGGCAGCCCCATAATCATGAGGAAGCAGACCATCCTTCAGTCCAAACGCAGCATCACGTAGCGTTAGCTGCAAGCTTAACATAGCACAGGTTAGGGGGAGGGGTTATCCCATAATCATCAACTCCATACGAAAGTGGAGGATTAATTAGAGGGGAGCAGATTAGGGTGTTAGGAAGAGCGGGGAGCAACGATGGCATAACCATCAAGGTTGGTGTAGTGACCAACAGAAGAGGGATGACACGTCCCTTCATACGCTTTTTGGCGCTTGCTCCCGTCAAGGCTCATTAGAAGGTGAGGTGTTCCCATGCGCCCGGCTAAGATACCCATGGAATACCACGATGCAAAGGCCATTAAGGCAAAACACAGTGAGGCAGATGACGGCGAGGTAACAAGGCACTGGACAACAAGAGGTTGCAAGTCACATAGGGTGGAGGACATGGGGGAGGACGACTGACAGGTAACCAACACAAAGCAAGAAGCGAAAAAGGCACAAGTATTGATACCAAGTTGGAAAAACGGAGAGCAAAAAAAATAAAATAAACAAACGCTGATGATGACAGACCGTTTCGTCGGAGTTGCACCGACTCATCAGGAGGCTGAACCCTCGACGATCTGCGGAATCTCCGTATTTGATGGTTTGGGTCATGAACTTTTTTACCCTTGTTGAAGGCAGACTGTCCCCAAGCGGAACATAGCAGCGGGTAGCAACCTTGTGGAGCACCAGGCAACACAGTAGAGGCAACACGGTTGCACAACGCCAAAAATGACTGCAAGGAACGACATGCCACGCAGCACATGCAGCGCGGCAACCGTTGTAGTGAAGCACAAGGCAACACAAGCGAGGCAACCACACTGCAAGGGACGACAGTGCAAGCGGACCAGCAACCCGACAACCGTGGACCGAAGCACAAAGCACCCGCAACAAGGCAACCATCGAGCAAGGCCCGCAGACAGCAACCACGGAAGGCACGGCCAACGAAAGGGCAGCAAGGCAACAGAGCNGGTGGAGGACATGGGGGAGGAGGGCGGGCAGGTAACCAACACAAAGCAAGAAGCGAAAAAGGCACGAAGTACTGATACCAAGTTGGAAAAACGGAGAGTGAAAAAAATAAAATAAACAAACACTGGTGATGACAGACTGTTTCGTCGGACCAATGGGGCACTGGCCCCTACTGGTCAAGTTCCTCGTCCAACCTCGTACTGAGGACCGTTGGTTTACAAGAAAGGAACTTCTCAAGTCTGCCAATTCAGTCGTGCAGTTCTACAAGGCTAAACATACTGGGAAATTACTCAGGCGGTACTGTATACTAATTTTGTCCCTGTCGATCCCACAACCTTTGTTTGCTGTATTGCCTGTTTGTTTGCTATTTGTGTGTTTTGTACCTTGCGCGACTTGATCTAGTGACCTGTAACCTGTGTTTGTGTTTTGTTTGTGAGTGTTGTGCCCTATGGGGCTTGATCCCTGCATCTGTCACTAGTAGTCTCTGTTTGGTAGCCCTAGGCCTTTCAGCTTTTTCGTTTGCCTTGTCATAGGTCTAGGCCCCTTTTTCCCCTGTGTAGATCTAGATACAGATAGGTCTTGGGTTGTTGCTTTGGGGAGTCTGCCGTATGTCTAGGGGAGGGTAGAAGTAGCGGGGAGGTTTTTTTTTTTTTTTTTTTTTTTTTTTTTGGACCATTTCTCTATTTATGCGTGTCATCCTTGCGCAGGGGCCATGCTAATCTTCTCTTTCTCTGTATCGTTCCAATTTTAACGGATGTCCCGAAGGACGGGGAGGAAATTAGTTCGGGTCTTTTCCTCGTTTTTTCGTTGCTGCGTTATTTTGGGCGAGGGCATCTTCTTCCTCGAAGCCCAGCCATAGCTGGGCCTGGGACACAAAGTTGGAGATAGCACTGCTGCTACTCAGCAGCTCTGCACGAGAGCTTCACCAGGACTGTGTTGTTGGGTTTGGATGCTGCCTTTCTTCACTTGGCAGCCATATCTGCTGTTCCTCCTCAGGAGGAACTTCGTTTTTGTCTTCTTCGAAGCACTGGATTGGTTGTCTCCTTCTTCATCAGGACTTCCAGCGCTGCACGTGCAGGCGCTGAGCTGGTGCTGCTATTATTGGGGTTGCTGGTTCAGATTGGCAGGCTGTGACAGCTGTGGGGTTACTGCTGCTACGGCAGCCATAGCCAGGGGTATGAGGTGGCGAGGAGGAAGAAGAAGACTTCTGCAGACTTCATTGATCACTTGTTTTTGGTTGCTCGGGGTTGTCGGGTTGTGATTCTTGGAACAAGTACTTTGGATTGGTTGGGGGAGGACGAGGGGTTACAGACTTGACATTCGTTTTTCAAGTCTCTGTGTATTTTGAGCTTCCGCTGTGCATATCTTCTCTCCGGTTTTGTGTGGATTTGCCTCCTTCAAGTCTACTCTGCAATTGCATGTGTGAACGGGAACGTTATGAATTTGTTGTGGATTGAACCTCAATCGGGTACATAGCACGGACATCCTCCGAAGTCCACGTCTCGCTTCTCCATCATCCACTTACCTACGCTTCTTTGGCTCTCCGGTGGTGAATCGTTATTCCCCGCCCGCCTTCCGGTCCTCTGGCAACGAGTTATGGGGCTGCGTGTCTCGAGCTCGATGACGATGGTGACGGTGATGATAGTATCGATGATGATGATGGGCATGCCGTTACGGATGATAGTGGCAGTCGGAGCAGATATGAGTTGGACAGCGCAGCAGAGAGGAGGGAATACCGTTGCGGGAGCGGAGAGTGCGTATGATGACGTTGGTGATATGCAAGGAGCGAGACAGCTGCAGGTGGATACTTCATTGCCTTCTTCATTGCCTTCAATTGCTTTCTACATCATAAACACGACTCTTCTTGGAGCTCCCCGAGTGGTTTTGACAACCACTCAGCTCTTACGTCCAACAGCCCGTAACGTTGCGTGTTTTCATTTCATTCGGGGTGTCGTGTTTAGCTCCCAGACGGGGGTGTTCTTCTATTTGCAGCAGGATGCCTGCTTCGATGGTACTGCAGGACGTGAACGCAACGCACGGTCGATTCACAAGTGTGATATGCGCGGCATGGCCGGATCTGGGCCCGCTCAGGCCAACTCGTCCTTGCTCACTGTAGAATGGGGGGACGATAACGGCAACGGCACAACGGTAATGCCGATAAGTGACTTGCCAACCTCCAGACGGTATTGGTTGCTTACGCTCGATCTGTAGCGGAGCGACCGGCATCTCGTTCTGCCCTTATTGGACAAAGGTCTGGCATTCGTCAACACCACGGATGGTTCCAGAACCACGTACGAGCTCCCCAAATTCAAGGGTTACGCGGGTGCATTCAATCCTGAACGCACTATTTTCTATGTGGGAAATGATACCTGCGTTCTGTACTCCGTCATGGATGGGGACTCTCCGGGGAGCTTTGTCAACGCTTTCCGAAGTAAATCGTGCTATGGGGACTCCAGATTCCTCTTCGGTCATCGAAATTTTCTCCAAGATGGGACCTACCTATACGCTTGGGGCATGTCTAACAGAACATTACTAGGTGTTGACCTCATTAGTGGAGAGGTGGATCAAGTAACCGAGATCCCGGAAATCAAAGAGCTGGGGTTGGGGGGTTCTGTGTTGACACAAGACGGATGCAGCTTGTTCGTCGTTGCATATGCTGGGAAGACTATCATGCGGGTGGCTTTCGATAAACCGAGAGGAAAGGTGGTCACCGTCGAGAACGTGACTACTTATGCCTCAGGAGATGGCTGGCTCGTGACGGTTGCTCTGGACAATGACGACAGTCACTTGTACGTGTCTACCCGCACAGGCCAGCTGTTCGAATTTCCAATCAACAAGTTAGCTCTAGGCGAATGCATCCCAACACCGTACGCACCGACCTCGACAGAATCATCATCATCATCATCATCACCATCACCATCACCATCACCATCACCATCACCACCGTCGGCGCAATCAACCGGTGCATCTCCAACAGCCGGACCAAGGGGAGGTGTCAGCGTCGGCGTGCTGGCTGGCAGCCTTGTGGCGGCTTGTCTAGTCGCCTCTGTTCTTGGTGGCGCCTTTGTCGTCTTCGTTTCGCGATCTAGAAAATCAGCGATGGTGGAATCTGGGGGTATGACTGCAAGGTCTACTGCTCTCGAACTCCCGATTTGAAGCTACATACAGCTGTCCTTACGTTCGCCTTTCTTCTTTTTCTTGTGTGTGTGGTTCTTGGCTGCAATCTTAGAGATCGAGCAGCCTGTCCCTCCGCTCCACCATTGGTCACCCCAGCGGCGTTTCTTGTCTTGTCCTTTGCTGCTGCCGAGGCTTCTTTCGTCTGTTTGCCAGGGAGCGAGTCCGAGCGACCGCTGTACTTCCCTCCTTACCCGCGTTTGGTGTTAATTCAACTCTATTGACATGTACAGAACTTTGCCTGCTTTCCTTATTTTCTATTTTCTGGGTCTCTCGCTTGCGGTGGCGGCTGGGGGTATGTTCCTTCTGGCGAGGGATAATTTACCGCTGTACGTCTCTCCTTACCCCATTTTTTTATATTTTTTTTGTTGGCGCTTTCTTCTGAGGGGGTATCCCCTGCCCTTCACTCTATCGAATCCATCTGGGTTTGAAGTCATTATAATCTGGGTCTATTGACAGTTACGCAACTTTGCCCGGCGCTTTCCTTATTTTCTATTTTCTGGGTCTCTCGCAGGCGGCTGGCGGCTGAGGGTACTTCCATTCTGGCGCGGGATAATTCACGGGTAACAGGACCTGGGAATGAATTGCACAATTAAATCCACTTATCTGATCTCTGTTGAGTCGTTGCATTGATGACTAAACATTACACCTTTTCCGTTATCAGTATGGGTGTTGGTTGCTCCTCGAACAGTCGCGAAGGGCATTGGGAGAATGATGCGAGAAGGGAGGGGCATCGAACTCTCAATCTTCTTTTTTTTTTGTATGTGATGTGCTTATCATCAATTGCTCATGTGACTCGACGTGGTATGATGGGGATTTGGATGATGTTAGGATTAGGGCTGTGCAGTGGAGGCGAGTAGAGGTTACACGGAGGTCTTTTATGGTGGTTGTTTTTTTTTTTATGTTTTTTTTTTTCCCCACCTTTTTACCGTGCTATTTGGGAAAAGTCATAAGACCTCCCCGCGAGGAAACCTTCCTATCCATTTCCCCCCAAACGAGCAAAAAAGTGCCGCAAGTCGCAAAATCACTTTTGGTGTCATTTTTGCAGCCGCGGTGTAAAAATGGCGGGAACGTGTTTTGCAGGGTGCAAAAATGATGCGGAAAGTGATTTTGGGGTCTGCGGCACCTTTTTCGCCGTTTGGGGGACACCGATAGGAAGGTTTCGTCGCGGGGAGGTCTTATGACTTTGAATCCCTATTTTGCTTAGAAGCTGTGAAAGACGGACAGTTGCTTACAGCTGTGCATCCCTCTCTCAACTTGTGGCGACGTAGATCCACGAGCCACTACTCAGCATGTCTCTGGACTGCTCTATGCACCAGATACGTTCACACTGATCGAACGTTTGTTTCGTTTCGAATGTCTTTTGGTCCTTTACCTCCTCCGGATACAGTAAGAAATTTGCGCAGTCGAGCGACGCCCTTAGTAGCTCTCGTCTTTGCTTGACTTCAAATCTTCTTTCTTTCTTTTCCAACCAACAAAACTTGTTTCGAAAAGAAATCCTTATTTTAAATTTCTTGACTGGACCCGTCGGAATAAAATTCTCGACTCTGCGAAGTCCTTCTAGGTAGACCAAGTACTGGGTCACTCTTCCTTCAAATGACATTCGCTTCGGTTAAGAAAAAAAAAAAAAAGGAAACAGAAACAGAAAAAAAGTAACGAAAACAAGAAACGAACGGAACCAATCTGCGCTCAACGTGGCGCCGCGCTGCGCCTGCACGAGATGAGGGCAACTGGTTCGGTTACCAAACACCTAACCCTAGCAATCCACCATAGCCAGGCGGAGCTCCGCACAAAGGGGGGCGGAGGGGGCAGACGCGTTGGCTTAGTCTGGCTACTACTGCCTTCCCCCGAGCACAGCGCGCCCTCATTCTGACTATGTATGACTGTGTACCGCGCACAGCGCGGAGGCGCAGCCCGGAGGGAGAGAGGATGAAGGTGCAAGAGGGAGAGTCCCGGAGGGAGAGAGGATGAAGGTGCAAGAGGGAGAGTCCTCAAACCGTTTTCTTAGAAAGAAGACATGTTCCGATCGAAACTTGCTTTTTTTTTTTTTCCCATTTCCATTCCATTCCGTTTCTTTTTCCATTCCGCTTTTCTTTTTTTTTTTTTGGTGGGGGTGGGGGGGGCGAAGTTGTCTCATTATATTCCTGAAAATAATAGTGGTCGAGGCCGGGGACCTCACAATTCTCCCCGGAGTTGACAAAATGGCCCAAAAAATCTTTGCTGGAAACCCGGGGCCAAGTCCCACTAGCAGCGTTGAGCTACCACAAGGCCTGAATGTGGACGCTTTTGCGGAGATGTGCAGAAATGGTGTTGAGTTTCCTGAACTGCACGTCTCCGCAAACACGTCCACATTCAGGCGTTGAGGTAGCTCAATGCTGCTAGTGGGACTTGGCCCCGGGTCCAGCGTCCCAAGACCACTAAACCCTCAAAAGGGAATGACACTTCTCAAAAGTAATCTTGAAGCTCAGAAAAGGTGACTGAACTAAAAATTATTGCCTGTCGAATCCTCCAGCCAGCGACTTGTGTCCTATAAAAACAACTAAGATGGCCATTCAACTGAATAGGGAGAACCCACTCTTATTTCCAAAAAACACTGTAAAGCCAGTGGAATGCCCTGTAACACCTGTGCAATGCTTCTACCCAGTGAGTCAGTGACCTATGGCGGCAGAGTGCTGCCTAACTCTAGTCTCACCTACAATTCTTGTAGCAACCACTGAGCATACCTCAATTTACCGTCACCTGACATAGATGCGAAGTAATCCTTTTTTGCCCATGTCTTAGAAAATCAGAACAAGCCTTTTGTTTTCCAGTCTGCTAACACTACTAATCTAATAGCATACTTAATCTGGTTGAAGGTCTGTTGCGCGGGAATTGCAAGAAAACTGTAGGCCTATGCCAGCGGCCTAATTCCTATACATCTGGGAGGAGCCAATCCGAGAGACATAGCTTGCCTTCGACAGAGATTGTAGCCCAGCATTCATTCCTCAGAATCCTGCCCCATGTCTGTGTTCCCCTTTTTTCCCTACCTGTCATTCTTTTTTTTTCTTTTGCGTTCCATCTTTTCTCCTACCTGTCATCATTGCCTTCGCCCTCCGCCACGCCTGGTACGACCTTCACCCATGGCCACTTGCCATACACTCCCACAAGCCTCACCCTCTTTCTGCAATCGCGGTGGTCATTCGCCCGCCATTTTACACATTGGTGAGTAGTACAGTGAAGCCTGTATTCAACTGCAACTGGAGAGAGAAAACTATTCCATACTTTCTGCTGAAATACTCACAGTAGGGCTTTTTTACTTATTTGTGGACATAATTGCGGTCAGGTACATCCGGCCCGCAGTAAATGCGGTCAGATTGATTCATTCAAGTTACGGCATGGCCACACCACTCTTGAAATGTGCAAAATGAGAATGAACTTCCCCGTAGAACATGGCCAGATGCATCCGCCACATTTGTCTTTTTCACATTTCGAGAGTGGTGTGGCTATGCCCTCAGGGCCAGAGAGAGTAGGCCCTGAGATCAGAATGATGCTCGAATTACCCTCTTCCCCCAAACATAGCGCACCCTGAAAACGAATGTATCCAAGGTATGTTTCCGGCCGGATACAGTCAAAACGCAGGTGCTTTGTGTACGGGGGAAGACGGCCTAAGCATCACTTACCTTCGCCCGCCACCACGCCTGCTCGATGGCTCTTGGGGGAGGAGGGGGGGGAAGTGTGGGCGTGGTATGGAGGTCATTTGCGGTTTTGACACTGCTCTCTACGCACATTCCGCACTATGCGACCTTCCAATCCAACATTCCGCACTATGCGACCTTCCAATCCAACATTGGCACGCCTCTACGCACGTGCACGGGGTGCTAGACGACCTCCCAGCATCTTGCTACGCCTCTGCACGTGCACGCGCTGCACGATGCTTTTCCAACATTTAGTGACTATGGGCCTCGTTAGACACTCCTTGGAGACCCGAAATCCACAAGGAAATGATCGTTCCACCTGTCCTTGGGGACGATTCTCCAAAAAAAATGTGAAAACACCAGAAGGAGAGTTCCTTGTGGCGTCCTTGTGGCCACAGCCAATTTTTCCTTAGCCCCAAGGGACCTCCCGAGGTCCCTCGTAGCACAAGGAAGCGCGAATTTCGGAGCGGCGAGGGCATGCGTCGACGTTCAATTTCGGTTCGAGGATGGTCCAGTCGTGGTCCAGCGAACCGGAGCACGGACATCCCTGCGTCCAAAATGTGCACGGCGCCCCAACGGCTCCAAACGGTCACGGGCGTCGGGAGGCCTCCGTCCGTCGACACGAAATGCTGTCCGGCGTCCACTACGGTCTGCTGTGGCGGGCGATCGTCGACAACGGTCGAAAATTCGAATGCTTTTCCCACCGGGCGCCCTTCGAACGGCGACAGTCTCATTGGACAAGATCGTCGTTTCTTCGATTGTCGTCATGCCTCGCACGTTGGAACACAGAACTTTCACCGATCTCTCTTCTGTCGACGGGCTTCTTCGTTGAACGGTCGACTGCAGACGTCACACTGCAGCCCTTTGAACGGCCCTTACATGGCCGTCCTGCTGCACAGGCTGCCTCTGCTGGTCCTCGTCGTCGTGCTGCTTCTCCTCGTTGTTTTCTTCCACGTGTGTTTCGTCGGCCTCGTCCCGATCGCGGCTCGCAGAAGGACATCTTCGAAGAAAGCCCACAGGATGGATCGACGACTAGGCAACGGCAGACCGGCAGGCACAACCTCCGGAGCGAGCAATGCGGGTTCTCTGGCGAAGTGGCCGTACGACCCGAGGTTGTATGCAGGCCTGCCTTCTCACGATATTCCTCTGCCGCCGTCGGATGACGAGGGGGGAGACGCAAGGTCGTCGACTTTGCCGTTGGGAAGTGGGTCTACGCAGGAATGGGCGGCGACGCAGTCGTGCGGAGGCGGGCGGGTGGAGACCCCGTGGACTTACACGTCGCTGCTTAACGAGGGCTTGTGCGACGGCGACGACAATGCAGCGGTTGATCTGAGCTTCCAGTTGTCCAGCAGCAGCGGAGCAGCGACAATGCACACTCGGATCATCAATCCCCACCCGGGTGTGGATTGGGCGGACAACACGCACGGCGGTGTGTGCGGGCCGCGAGACGGTGGTCTCCCTCAATCGCTTTGTGAAGGTGGCAGTAAACGAAACGAGTCCACGTCGACCATCGGCGGAGGAGTTTGTGCGCGTGAACATCCAGAGTGGATGCGGTTGTCACCTTTCGTCGCGGAGCGGATCCGACGCTCCTTGTGCACGGCAGCGGCCGGAGGTTTTGCATCAGGAACGTGCGGACGTACAGCGCGACGGCAGGCAGCTGTGGGCAGAGTGCAGGCAGGCCTTGCATCAACGTGGAACGGAGACAATCACAAGAGGGGTGCAACGGCTCCACGAGGACGAAGGGGACGAAGCTGCTGCTGAGGAGGCCCGGGGGTGTGACGACGTTGATGGTGGCGACGATTGCAACGCCGACGATTTGCCAGGCATAAGGCCGCTGGGGAGGAAAGCGATGAAGGGCGGAGCGACTGCGAGGAAGGGTCCCGCTGCAAAAAGTCGACGGAATAAGAAAATGGATGACGACACGGGCCGGAGCGATGGCGAGGGCGGCCGGAATTTCTGGTCGGTGGGAGACACGATCGCACTCATCAGGGCAAGAAGGGACCAAGATCTGTATATCGCCGGCATGGGCACTAGTTTCGCCCGCATGAAAACGAGGGAGTGGAAGTGGGAGGACGTGCGGGCGAGGTTGCAGTCGATGGGCGTGACGAGGGATGCTTTCGACTGCGGGAAGAAATGGGACAACTTGATGCAGCAATTCAAGAAGGTCCACAAGTTCCAGAACCTCTCCGGCGGGAAAGACTACTTCAAGATTGCATCGAAGGAGAGGCGGTCGGAGGGCTTCAGCTTTGTCATGGACCAAAGCGTGTACGATGAAATGGAGGCCATGACGAAGGGGGATCACACGATCCACCCGAAAAAATTGGCGGACACGGGGGCGGCCGGTGGGGTTCAGATGTCGGCAGGCGCTGGGGCTGTAGGTGACACCATGGGCAGTGAGGGTGGAGGGGACGCAGCCGATGAGGAGCAGGGGTCGACGAGAGACTCCACATTCAGCGCGGGGAGCGGCGGCGGTTATGGGAAGAGGAAGAACATGCGGCAACAAACCTTTGAGGCCGTCGCCGACGTCATGGAAAAGCATGGTGCGCTTATGGCGAGCACAATGGACAGCGCGAGCAAGCGGCAATGCTCGATGATGTCACGTCAGTGCAAAATCCTGGAGAGCGAAGTGGAAGTGAAGAGGAAACATTATGCTGCGGCGGACGAGGCGAACAGAATGATGTGCCAAGCCCTTATGGAGATAGCAAAAGCCATCCGCGAAAGATCATGACTGATGCTGCTAGTAATGTCCACCGTTACTTTCTTGGCCTGTCTCTCCTGTCGTTGCGCCTGAGGAGATGGCGACGTGTGCGTGTGTGTGTATGTGTGTGTGTGTATGTGTGTGTATGTGTGTGTGTGTGTGTGTGTGTGTGTGTGTGTGTGTGTGTGTGTATGTGTGTGTCATCGTATGGTCAGCAACATCTTTTTTAAAATCTTTGTTTGTTTTTTTTTTTTGTAGTTGTTGCGCTTCCTTTTCGAGGACAGTAGTAGGTGCTGCGTTCGCGGTCTCCACAGCGAGAGGGCCAGTTGTTGGAGGGGTTATGGGGTTCGACGATTGCGGTGGACGGGGGTGTCATCGTTCGTGTCCA